GGTCAATACTCGTGAAGGTGGTATGGTGTGGATAACTAACACCTCCTCGAATATTACTCTTGGTACATCCTCTGTGCTAAGCGTCATATACCACCTGCTCGGCAGTAAATCAGATGCATATCCGCATACTCCTCATTCACGTAATCTGACGTGTTGTTCCTGAATGAATTTTAATATTCGCTAATTCTACAATGCTCAAGAATACTTGTTCGCTGCTTTTATTTTCATCTTACGCATAGGAAATTTTCACAAGAGAAAGTTTCTTCTTCTCGACTGCTGCTTTTATTTTCCCTCATATGCATTGTAAAACTTGCATACAAGGTTTCTTCTTCCCGACCGCAGTGCTCATGATCCTCACATTTGTCTCGCTTCGTCAGGTTTACTGTCCTCTTGACGCCTATTTTTACGATTTTCACTGACTAAATGTGGTTTGAGACACAAAGTCCTACTGGTCATTTTTCATCCTCTTGATGCTTATGATAACCTCTTTTAATTTCTTGATCGCGTTTGGCAACACCCATTAATCTGCGTTCAGACTACAGTATAAAGGGCATAAGTGGTTTAAGCTGAGCTGCGTTGCCAGGCAACTAGTCAGTGCTACGTCACAAAATCTGGTTTAGGGTTCTTGGCGTGAAGTTCGAAGTTTTATGCCGACTCGGGATAAGCGTCGACCAATCAGAGAGAACGCCAGAAACCTGAAAGGGAAAATAGAGCGGGAAAAATGTAGACACATCCAACTCATGTGCAAATTTAGCTTCTCTAAATGGATGCGGCTTAGACCTGTGTCGCAGGTGTGAACGGAAATCCCGAATTTTATATCTTGTGACATTTCCTGATTCTCCGTGACATTTACGTCTCCGTCTGAACCTGACCTTACATTATTTCTGAAAACAAAAATCGGAGTTTAAATTTTCTGGGTATAATTTTAAATGCAAGTTTTTCCAATGACTATATAAAAATGAAACAGCTTAATATTTACCAGCTGAAATACCACAGTGGTCAAGTGGTAACGTCGTTAACATTAATAGTTTGATCCGTCGAACGAGTTGACCGCATAAAATTTTGCTGGTTTTCCTATACGAAGTCATCTATCTGTCCCTTAGGCAGATAGCTCTAGTGTGTTTTGCCATAATCAAATAAATCCAAATTCCCTACTGAAATTTCATGTAGCTAACTCCTGATATCTTTCATCATAACTAACGTATCACTATCCAAACGATTAACTGCACGCTGCGCATGAAAAGGTTAATAACACTTTAAGAAGACGAGCAAACTGAAACAAAATAAAACTTAATTTTTACTAAACAAAATATCAGATTAAAAAAGTTGAAAAATATAGTTTGAAATTTAATAATTAATTAAGTAATTTTATTATAGAAATCTCATGTAGTTACTCATCTTTCTATCGTGTTTCACCAAAAATAAGATCTCATCAAAAATTAAGCCGTAGCATGGTTTTTCAGGGTACTCTTAGCCTTACCCCTAAAATAAACCCTAGTTAAGATAATCAACGAGACGGGAGCCATATTGTCCAATGACCAAGTGTACACGCAACACATATGCATATTTTAAATAAACGGACGCGATTGTGACAAATTAGAATCTTCAGTATTCAAAACGTCGCGTTAGCAACGAGCGTTTAGCACTTGATTTAATAATTAATTTAACGAATAATAAATTTTGATGCTCAGATAAAATAAGTGCAAAAAGAAAGAGCTATTCCATCAAGTACCAGAAAGTAATCTTGGAAGACTCTAGGGATAAAATCTTAAGCTTTCTACAAAGAGAAGAAGTTTATTTACAAATGATCAAAAAATGACGATCAGAGTGCAATAGCCTTAGTCAACAGGTGAACCAGGGAAACACAGCTAGATATATCGCCAGACGAATTTAAAGCATCACAACACTGGATGCATGTCTCCTTTCAGCAAAATGAACTGTTTATAAGAAGATCGACAACACTGTCTAAATTGAAGTGATTATTTGCACTCAAGTTTTTCGTTTATGGCATCGACTTCTCTAAATACCAACTTTCGAACATGATTCCTATGGATGAAACATATGTATAAGATAAGTGTCTATGTCTCAACGGTCTTAAACTACCATTGGTCAGAGGAATACTTCTGCGATATCCATTCTCTCCACTTATTATGAAAGAACACGCATTATATGTATTTTGGTAATTGATTTCGAGGGAAAGATCCTCCCCTCCACTAATTGTCTCCAAGAGCAAGAAAGAGGAAATCGAAAGTGTTTCACCTATTTATTTATGTTCTTGAGACTTAAAAATATAACTGCCCACAAGCAGCAGTAAGAAAGTAGATTGATTAATTTCTACCGCTTGCTTTGAGGGAAGGACAAAGGAATATGCTGGTGTGGGATTCTGCCGGCACTCTGGACGCTAAAACCATGAGCACCTGCCGTGCAGAAAGAAGAATGGATCAAATAATGATTCTCGCAGGAATGACTGCATATTTCCAAACTCTTGATATTGTAATAAGGAAGCCATTTACATATCATTTACGCATGGAAGTCAATGACTTCATTAAAAATAGAATAGAGAGAAATCAACGAGAAAATTTTGTGATGCCTAAGCTACAAGAAGTCATTACTTGGGTGAAGAATGCATAAAATAAAATAACGGACAGCTGTGTTGCCAATGTCCTACTAACAGGTTTCATGGTCAAGAAGAGCTCATTTGAGAAGAGTTCTGTTGCTCAACATGACAGGCTAGAGAATGAAAGCTTTTAGAGGAAATGAAGCCGCAAAAGATACATCCCGGAATTCGTGATTTGCATCTCTATGGCGATGTTTCAGAAAAAGACGACATAGCTGTATTAGAATAAACGACTTTGTTCATTTTTAAATGCTTCTTGAAATGTATTTCATGAACTTGAAGAAATATGTTCGTTGAAGATGAAAAAATGCTAATTACTGTGCATGAGAAAATAACACATCTCCTGAAAATAAGCCCTAGCGTGTCTTTTGAAAGGAAAATTAATATAAGACGGGGGTCTGATTTTCTGGAAAACACGGTATTTTTAATCTTTGATGAACTCTATTTTTCATGAAAAATTACCACTTTATGGAAATATTTAAATGATAATCTTTATTAGTTATGTAAATGAATTTAAAAAATTCCGTTTGCTGTTTTACGTATTATTAATTTTCTACTCATTTTCAGTCTTTGAATGCTTCTTGCTTTTTGAACAAAATTGTATTAGTAATAAAAAATATGAAGCAAAATTATTCCTCATTCCTTCTTGCGCTCACAAATCACTATGCGAGAATAGAATTATAACTTTTAATGCCTGAGAAACGTATGTGTGCGATGCTATCGTCATCCGATGATTTGTAGGTGCCTTATACCTTCTTTCTTTTCTCGAACGATTTTTTCTACGACCACGTTTTTGACTTGCGCTCATTTCTTCGCGACGTTTACGACTGCGATATTTTTGCCGTAATGTTTCCGTTTGTAACCCCCTGAACACTAGTAGTACCAACAGTTTCGAATTCCGAAGTAATATTATTTTCATGGCTTTTGATCAGGTAAATTGAATACAAGCCTATTTCTCTTTTAACCCTTTCTCAGTGAAGTCTGCATTCAGACTTTGGCAGGTCGCCCTAGCTTCTGCGTCCATTTTCTGCTGGTGCTTTTTCTTTCGAGAGTTGTTAAATGAGATGTCTAAATCATTTTGAAGCGACTTCCTTCTCCTTTACTTATCATCCAGCGATAAATAGAATCTCTTCTATATCCTGGTAGGCATTCCGTGGATGACCTGTCCCTCATGTTGAGGATCACTACCGCTGACAAAACTTGGTTGTATGGATATGCCGGGTAAACAGTCCCGAAACTTTCCGACGCCACCTCGTACTGAAACAGTGTCAACCGGAGTCTTACTGTACATAAAATTAATTTTATTTGTTTATTAATTTCCTTTTCATTGCTAGAAAGAATTTCTTGCGAAAGAAATTAAGCTTACTATAGAAGTTTTCTGCCATTTTATGAATTCTATTTCCCTCCCTGTCCCTGCATTCTGATGGATAGATTTTGCATTTACTGTTTATTTCCTTTCTTTATTCTAAAAAATAAAGGAGCTTGGAAACCGATTTGAGTTTAAAATTATTCACAAAATTATTTGAATGAGCTGTTTCTAAGCGCAAAACTACCGCAATTGATGTACTCTATAGAAGTAATAGAAATCCATACCCCTGAAAATTTAACGAAGAGTCCATCTGTCATTCAAACAGTGTAAACTTATAACTCAATAAAGGATCTTGAGCTCGAACATTTAAAAAAATATTCTTTATATTATAAACACTAATTCAAAGTTTCGGAATTTGTTCTAAAAAAATGTGTAAACACATCTATCTATATAAGCCATAATCTTTATAAATTTATCAAGGACTCCTCACACTTTTATTATTTGGGATATCAAAACGTAGTGTAATTTTACAAAGAGAATTATCTAATTTCTTTTTCCCAGTAAACTATGAGATATTTTTATTGTTGATCTAGTTAGATTGCATATATGAATACATTCGTCACACACGAGCGAATTCGAGATTTCTTTGTTACGGTTTGAGACATACATACGCAACTAACCTTGTCAAGGATCAAAGCTATTAGTTTTAGTTTATTTAAACCATTTTTCTTAATTATTTGAAAAAAATGGTAACTAAAGTCCTTGACCCGTTACATTTTAAAAACTTTTCTTTTTTCTTCTGTTATGATTTTCCATTGCGTTGTATGGAGGCAACCTTTTAGTGATCTGTTTAACCAGCTTTTTAATTTTAAATAGTTTTCTCTCATTAATAATCTCTGCTTAGATGTTATTCATATTAATAACCTCTGCTTAACTCACTGAGTGTCAGGAAGTCTTTTATAGTTATTAGTATTTTATATTTATTTTATATTTATTTTGTAGTTATCTTTTTTCTCTAACACTTTTTAATGATCATTCTGTTGTTAGCTGTCATGTGTTTTTTGAGCACCGAGGTAAAAAATACATTGATACTCTACACAATATTCTCTGTACTTTTTAAAATTTAGAGCTATAAAGTCGCTTTGCTATTGATGTTCAGAAACAAATTGATGCATCAAAAATAAGGTAAGTAGTTTTTATACGTAAAGTAATCTCTAGTTTCCTTTCTATTCGCATTGTTTTTACTTTCCTTTGTGTTACAATTTCGTCGGCATGTCGTTTTTGTGTTGAAAATAGTGTTTACAGTTTACGTTCGAAATAAGATATTGCTGAATGTAACCAAAGTGATGTTATTTAAATGTTGTTCTTTAACTCCTTAATGGATACTATATTTGAAATATCTTATAGCATGGTGGAATTATGATTATTGGTTATGATTATTTGAAGTTAAAAACCTTAATGACTGTATGAATGTATTTAACGCAATTCATAAAAATCTTTAAAATAATTTCATTTCAAATAAATTAAAATTAATATTTTTATAGGCAAGTATAATCAAATAATGTTTATGTTACATAATCAATAGTTGAAAATCCTCATAAAAATTTTTTTAAAATATGTTTAGTTGTTGGAGTTTGTTCTTATATGTTTAGTTTCTAAAGTTGTTAGTATTTCCTGTCATAGAATTAATTCTGAAAATTTTCTTTCTTAATAATTTATTTCAATAATTTTTAAGATAATACATAATTGTCATTTCATTTGTATATTTTTCTCTCCAAAAAAAGCTGTTATATTGTTTGGGAAAAATAATGTTTCTGTGTGGAAATCAATATTATGTGATTCGTATTTATCAGAGGGCTTAAATGCGGAAAGTTATCTAACGATCACAGGAATTTTTCTGTGCAAAGAGTTGTTCTAAAAATTACATTTCAATAAATTTGTTCTGTTTAAAGTAGAATAATTTCCACGTTTTTGAAGAAGGAATGTTAATAGTAAAAATAGTAACAGAAATAATCTTGACCTATCCATTTACAAAAAATTAATAGATTAAATAAATTTAAATTAAATACATTAAAATTGATAAAAAGGTTAAATTTTTATCTTAATTAATTAATTAATTTGGAATATTAAATTTATTTATGATCAAACGCAATTTGTAAAGATTTCAATTAACATACTTTTAAGAAAAATGTGCATAAATAGTGTAAGTAACACATATAAAATTTAAGAATAAAATTAGTACTATCATTAATTTAAAATTTAAGAAAAAAATTATTATTATCATTAATTTGGTAAATTATAACAAGACATAAGTTTTCTATTTCATAATATTTCTTCAAAATTATAGTATGAATTTCAATGTATATCACTTACATCAGTGGTCTTAAACTCGCTGGCCGCACATAGCTGACACATTCTGACAGTGTGGGACACTGTCAGAAAATTTCAAAATTTCAGTTATTTGAAATCTGAGTTTATATTTTTTTCAATTTGTTCTAAAAACAGAACATGAATAATGCACCAGGAAATAAATAAATGAAGTAATCTGCAAAGTGATGTAAATCATATTTGGAGAAAATACAGCTTTGATTAATTTTTACTCGTACTTCTCAAAAAAAAAAAAAATAAATTCAATTACTATTTTAGCTTAAAGTACAACTGCTTTGTTTAGAAATTGACTTAAACGTAAACACTTTTTTTAAATAGTGCAAGACTAACAACAAAAATATCCGATTGTCCGATGAACAATTACAGTCCGTGAAGAAGGTAATTTCCCTTCAAGGCTACATAATTTATCAGAATCGAAACGTCATCAAATGTCAAGTTATAGTAAGAAGTAAAGAAGTTTATAATCATTTACATACCATTACTAGCCAACGGAGCGTTAGCTCAAAAGGGCTAACGGCATTTCCGTTAGTTTTGGCATTTTCCGTTGGTTCACTATAACAGGCGTTTCACTTTCAAATTGTTGCCACCAAATATTAGAACTTTGAATTATATTCAAAAGAAATTAAATAATGAAGAATCTGCACGAATGTATGTATGTTTCTTGCATTGTGACTCAACAACAGTCCCTTTAAGCGTAATATAAAATCTGAAAGTTTTAATTTTTTTTATTTATTTACGTTTTTATTTTTATTTATGCGTCAAAGAAATATTTAATAAATAAGAGACTAAGTTGTTATTATTTATTCTCAAGTATTCCTCCTGATGCATTTTCTCTGAAAATTTAGAAAGTTTTTGTAATTTATTCATTTTTAGTTTATATTCAAATAAGGTATTTAACGATTAATTAAATATATCAGTATTTTTTGAGAGAAATGTCAGTCTAGGAATTTAATATTTAGCTCTCAGTATATCTGAATTAAAAAATGTAACCAACAAAAACATCTTACTGTAACGAAACTTTAGATTTCAGGTAGAAAAGAAATAAAAATTCGATTTTTTCCTTTGTAATATTCGTTTTACTGTTTATGTACGTTTTGATAAACATTTAGTTAGCAAACTTTTTAATTTATTTAAAGTATTTAAAATTATTTAGCCGAAATGCTTTCAGAATGTGTATGTGTTTGTAAAAGAAAAAGAAAAAACACCTGTTTGGGCGTGATATAAAAAACTGAAAGCTTTCAGATTTTTTTAAAAAATTTCTAATGAAATTCATATTTCACTTATAAATCCGTGCCGTTAATCATGCTTCACGAAATGAGTTATTGTTCTTTTTTCATAAAAAAACATAACATTAAAAGTTTCATTATTTTACTCAGAAGTCATCTATTATTTTGTTTCCGTTTATTTACCAGACAGAGACTTTCTGACAAAAATTATATTATGTTTACCACCATTTATTATTCTTAAAGTATTAGTTATTAATGTTACATATAGACAGAGTTTTGGTTTTATTACTATCACTTAAATTATTCATGCATATTTAGGTACCACAGAACTTTTCTTTTCCATCAATAAATGGATGCCATCCGCTTAGGTTAGTTAGCTTTTTGGCCAAAAGCCCTATTATCGGAACTAACTTAAAAACTTTACACTTGCACCATATCCGCCAGGTCTGCTTATTGGGTGCAAACCAAATATGTTTATCTAAAGATGGAAATTTGTATGTCAGTTAACGGTAAAAGGTCTAGCAGGGAAGGAGGTCTTGTAATATGTGCAGACAACTCAAATCTCTATACTATTACATTATTTGCAAGCGCGGCAAGATACAAAACAGTTAATACAACATGCACAAATACACTGTCACAAAGCTGCTAAAGCTATCATAAAGATACAAATTTTAGCATGAGAGAACATGAAAATATTTGCATTAACATTTCCATTTTATTCCATTACATTTATTTCCAAATATTTACATAAGCATTTTCATTTGAATATAGTTAAAAGCAAAGCATAAAACAACCTCTAAAATAGTACATCTATGTAACAGAAAAAAGTACTGGTACAACATTAACAGGAGAAGTTTATTTATGGAGACACATCATGCAACAAAGCTATACATTATTGTGTAACTGCAAAAATTCTTAAAATTATGTGCAATAAGTAATAGGGGGATATAAATCACAAGGAAATACTCCATACGAAGCGAAAAAAAAAACGAAAATAACAAATGTGCATAGCCTCAGGTCCCTTTTTTCGGGAGGTAGGGAAGAAAGAGAAGTAGCTGGAAATTATTCCAGGCTGTCAGTAGTTATACTCTTGTCAATGGCAGTAAAATGCCTTATGGGAATGACCGTATATTTATTTTTGTTAGTGTTCGTGATCCATGTTTGTTGGTAATTCATGGAGGGTCTTTTCAAGTAATAGTTTTTGGCATATGGGCATTCGAACAGATAATACAATGCTGTTTGCAATACATCTCCATGCCTGTCACTGCTTTTTAAAAGCATGCATTATATCCTATTTTATGGTCATTTCAAACCACTAATGTTTCTAAAATGTAGCACACTGATAGCTTTAAAAGGCACTTAAATGGTATGACAAACTGTTTTTAATTTAATTTCAAAACGGTTTTATTTTAGCATGTTTAAACAGCGAAAAACACATGTTACATGTAATTAGCAGTCTGGCGTTTCTTTAATGGTTGGGAGCTTTATTTAACAGCCATTAGCCTTGATCCACTACAAGGGCCGGAAATGGTAGCCATTTCATTATGGAAGCACCTAATAGGTGGCCATTGTTACCTTTTGTAAAGGGACGGAGTTACAACTATGCTTTTTCCGGAATTCGAACCCGGGCTTGTCCTCAAGGCTCATGTCTGGGGCCTACTCTATGAAACCTAATAGCAAATACAGCCTTCGAAGATTTACACAGACAGCGTCAAGTCAAGCCCAGACGTTTGCAGACGACTTTCTGCTAGTGGTGACAGGAAGAACGGACATAGAGAGCAAAGCTCAAAATGCAGTTGATTACTTCATGGAATGGGCCAAAGAGCACAAACTGGAAATCTCTCAGATGAAGACAAAACTACTTTTCATAGGGCATAAGGGTATCCCACAAAGAAACCGCACAGTCAAGCTCAATGGGGCCCCATTAAACTATTTCATCTTTAAAGTATTTAAGTTTCACATTCACTAACAGTCTTTCATGGATGCTTCACCTCCAGGAGTTAAAGCAACGTTGTGCACGATTAACTACTTCCATGCCCCTCACAACGGGAGTACACTGGGGATCCCCACCCTGGATTCTGAGAGCATGGTACAAAACTATTGCCGACAGGATTATTCAGTATGGAGTCGTAGTATGGGCGGAATAGGTCACTACAAATATGAGAAAGGCACTCCTAAATATGCAGAGAATGCAGCTGCTATTGATCTACAAGGGATATAGAACTACGCGAACTACGGAACTCCGGATTCTTGCAGGACTCCCGCCGCTAGACCTAATTGCAGAAAGAGATTCATTAATTTCGAGAGCGCACCGCCTTGAAGAAAAAGACAAAAAAAGTACTTTTCTAGAGATTATAGGCAGGAGTCAATAGGTAACTCTGCGAACATTGATCTGAAAGCTGACATCTTTCTTAATTACTTGGCTCCACGTAGGGCTGCACTCTCACTGTATACAGATGGATCAAAGACCTCAAAAGGTACAGGAAGTACCTTCTATGTTATCAAGGATGGAGTGATCTTGCATGAGAAGACGACCGAACGAATCCAACTCAGTGTATAAGGCTGAATGAG